TGAGCAAACAACCATGAATTGATCGTTTAATCTTCAACTTCATTGGCAGCGCCATTTCCCGGAGGTTACATCCTTCAAAATGCCATTTGCGGATGTGTCTCCATGGATTTGTTGTGAGTTTCCTTCATGCTTGGGCGGTTGCAGAATAACAGGGCCACTGTCGGACATAGCTATCAAAGGCAACAACAATCTGAACTGATCATAATACATGTGGGTGCAGGTAATATACCACCAAGTTTGTAAATCGTAAAATTCGTTCAAGCAATAGAAGCCCATATTATCAGCGTCATCTGATGATTCAGGAATAAGGGAAACGAACCCATCCGTCTCCAACTTCGCCCTATGGTATTACGTCATTAAGGAAATGCAAACGATTGGTTTCTATACTTTTAGCGGTAACACCTGCTAATATTATCATCAGCGTGAATTCTAGTATTTCCTACCATTTATAGCTTCACCGATTACCACACTGTATTCAACAGGTGTCAGCATTTCAAGATAAGGACCTAAATGTAGACGAATTAGCAGAAATTTACGACAGAATGCTAGGAGGATTTTCTGCCCACGTGATACTTGCACTCAAGAAGTTATTGAAGCGATGCAACACAAAGTAGACGTCCCGGAAGAATGTTGATGACGAAAATGTTTAAAAGGCGACTTCCCAAACTTCACAGGAAACTGAACAGTCATTAATGGAGATTACGTAAAGATGTCCTTTAGAAGAAAAGATACTGGTATCACCGAAAATTTAGCAGGCAGAAGAAACATGGACATGCGCTTTCCAACAATCTCTCTTCTGGAAATGGGAAGGCCGTCAGTCACTGTCAACTTCTGTTGACGGCCAACCCCTGTCTCAGAGTTGTGTCTACCATGTGACAGATAAGGAAGCAGGAGAACAGGTTCTTGTAGGTACTGGTATAGGAGTTGGTGTTGTTCCATCAACATCCGCTGAACGTCTAAGACCGAATATTTCTTTAGTGCTTAAAGGTGCCAACAACATTTCTATAAAAACATTGAGAACTGGGTTCCTAACTCTTGATTTTGGTAGAACGCACCATATGAGCTGGAATTTACCATTGTTGATAAAAATTTTCCAATTATTGGAGCAGACTTTCTAGGACATTACAAGTTGCTGGTTGACTTCGGCAGCCATAGATTAGTATGTCACAACCGCAAGTTTCCCATCTGAGACATCTTAAGCGATGTTGAGGGTGTTAACTTTGTAATATCAACCTTCCAGAGATTTTTTAACCAGAGCTTGCACAGCATTGCAGTCACCTTAGCATACGTCAGTGACATACTGGCCTCATGTAACTCACCAAAAGATCACTAACAACACTTAGAAACACTTTCTAAATCTTTGATTTTTGGGGGATTATCATTAAGTCAAGTGTGAACTGGGAAAGAGGGCTATATATTTTTTGTGTCACCCAGTGGGTAACGAAGGCACGTGACTGAAAAAAGACCTCATTTCTTATTCTGATCAAGTTTTATAGCCGTTCCACTTGCCAAGCCACTGACGTATGCACTGAAAAATCATTCAAAGACGCTTCAAATGACCACAACAGCAACAAAAATGCAACTCCACAGAAGAAAATAAAACTGTTGCGTTATAAACTCTGTTCACATATTTTCTGAGTTTTGATTTGACGCCTACTGTAGGCAGTGGATGGCAGCACACAACAGCTGATTGGTAAAGAAGCCAAATGTTGTCGTGATGTTGTATTTGGGGTCACTTTACTTTGTTTTCGGGGATTTTACTTGACTAAAATGAATTCCAAATATCAGATTTTAGACCAAAAACCTGTTAAAATGGTGAAAAGTAGTCGTTCTTATCCTGTTCGCACAACAGCTAGTTTTCATTGAAATGAAATGTTACAGTGCATAAGAAATAGCAAAATTCATCGTAAATTTCGGATTATGGTATTAAATAACTTAGAGGCTGAAAGTGTTGGCAATCACGGATAGTACGAGGTATTCTAACACGAGCTCTAATAACAACAACTTCTATAGTATTCGTTCCGCGTTGACTGAAAGCAAAGTAAAACACCAGAGTTGATCGTCGGAATTACTAATTATATTACTGGGCCAAATCGTAGAGCGGGCTTGACTGCTTAACCAGCTAGGTGTCGTGAACGAACGAATAAACGCAAAACGACGGCGTGCCGAAAAGCGTGGATGCTTGGTTCCGAGCCTTCAGCTAAACAAGCTGACTCAAACATTGAGGATAAGGATCCGATGTCCAGTGATGAATGCTGTAGCCAATAATTCTGAGGAATTATCTACGGCTACAATATAACATCACTGATTTAAGTGTAGCACATATTCATATTGCGGTTATGAAAATTTTATGATACTTATTAGATTTTAGGGCAAGGAATGAAAGTAAAAATCAATTGGTTGGTAAGATGATAGCGGATAGACAATCGTGTAGTTGGCAGATACCATGTTTTGCATCATTTGTTCAATAGTAATCTCTGGGAGCGAACCAACCAGGAACCGATTGTGAAACAAATAGGCGGGAAGAAATGGTGATGGATTGGCCATACGCCGAGGAAACCATCAAGTGACATCACTAGACTAGCCATTGCTCGAGTGGAACCCGAAAGGGAAGCGGCGAGTTGGTCTTCAGTGTAAGGGTAACTTGGAGGAGGTCGTGTGAAGAGGAGATGAAAGCGTGTGGGCAGACTTGGAGCAAGGTGAAAAAGTTGGCAGAAAACCGAGGGTAATGGAGATGGGCAGCTGAAGCCCTCTGAGAATTAAAGGATATAATAATAATCTCTACTTGGCAGAAAATTTTTTATTTCTTGTTGTAATTATTTGTAATGGTAGTATTTCGCAACGACTGAATTACAGGAAATCAATCAACAACACATAGAGGGATGAATTTAGGAATTTGCATTTGGCGGAATTATTTTCAATTCATACGACAAATATATTGACAAACAACAGTAAGAATTTAAGCGATGCAGGGATAGAAATTGTTAATCACCACATCCACCACACGTCGAATATCTCCTTGCGTATTTATAACGATGTCTCGGTTTGCTTGCAAGTAGCTGCGACCTTCTAACTGATTCTGTGATATTATTTTCATCAGTATTATCTGGACTTATTTCTGAATTGAATTTTTTATTTTCCCGTCGATTGATTGGACCGAAGTGCTCGGTCTCAGGTTGACATGTCGGCTTCTTGTGCAGATGCTTCGACGATGTCTGGGGATTTGATTTGTATACAATTGGTGGATGGTGGCTAGCAGTGGAATCCAGGATGCGCATTTCGTCCTATTTGCACAAGAGGTGGCTCTCGTGGCCCAAGTGGTCTATTGGCGAACGCTTTGGCGTTTGAAGCTATGGGCACTGGGTTCGAGCCTCGGTGGGAACATCATCACTCACTGAGAAATGCAGGTACATCCAGATGACGAGTCCCAATTAGGACGAAATGCGCATCCTGGATTCCACTGCTAGCCACCCTCCACCAATTTCTGAATTATCTACAAAATCAGGATTAGTAACGGAATCATTAATAATATAATTGGAACGACCTACTCCATTTATTTTCAATTCATCCAGGTGTCTGAATGAACTGAATGATCTTAGGTGTCTAATATCTTCACTATACGATTTCTTATTTTTGTAGTATGAATCCAGCAGAAAGTCTATAGTCATTCTCTCTGTAATAATGTACATCAGAAGTCGTGGACATCAGATGCTTCCTGAGAATTCGAGATTTGAATAGCTTAGCAGGACTTTCATGGGTACTTGTATGCTCCGAATTGCGATATTGAAGTAAGAAGTTATCCACACATCTCTCTAGCTCATCAAAATTCTTAGGACTCATTGATGCTATGGCACTCTTTAATGTTCGTACAAAAGTTTCTCCTAACGTGTTAGATTGAGGATGACGTGGTGCTATGTACAGATGACGACAACCTATATGTTCAGGCCAATCACTGAAGTTCTCAGTGAAATGAGTACCATTATCAGTAACTAAGACATCTGGAATTCCTTCTCGACTAAAAATCTTTCTCAACGCTCTGTGAGTGAATTTGGCATTAGGACTATCTGTAATGATGACTTCTGGCCATCTAGAATAAGAATCCACAATAATTAAAGCATAGTATGAATTTGAGAATGGACCACAGTAATCTGCATGAATACGCTGCCAAACCTCACAAGATGCAGGCCACGGTGTCCACGATGACTTCCCATAGGACATTTTATGTAAACAGCTAGAACAGCTCTTTGATATTTTGTTAGTGTCAGCATCAATTTTCGGCCACCAGAATGTTAGGCTTGCTAATGATTTCATCTTATCAGCTCCTAGATGAGCAGAATGCAGATCATCCAAAATCGCAGATCTTAATGTTGGAGGAATAATAATTCTGTCATTCGGATATAGAAATCCTTCAGGATGGACTGAAGTCTCAACTCTTCGCTTATAAAAGTCTGGAAATCTTCGCTTACTGTCAGCCACGTCTCGTGAACCGTTAATGCCCAGCTCTTGCTACGCTGGGACTCACGCTGTTCCTTGAAGTTTCTCAGAAACACTTAGTAATAACGGACGCATAAACCAAAACACCAATTGACGACTTGAGGTTTCTTTATTGTAACACCAACATATAAACACTGCTACAACTAAGGTTTCTGACGGTTTTCTGCTTACTTCTTTCTGAACAGCGACCGATGAGACGATGACTGTCGTATTGATGCCTCCGCGAAAATGGCAGCCTGTAGACGGCCGTAATTTTGAGTGACCGCGAATGAGATAAACAAGCGATTTGCTCGCTCGTGATTGGCCAGTTTGTCATTCTAGTTGAGGTAATTTCAAACATCATTTTGCTGCTTGGTTAAGTACTGAATTTCCAGGATCGTTTCATCAAATTTGAGAGATAACTGACAACACAAACTATTACAGCTCAGGAGGGAAATGAAATACCGGTGGATTTATTTGCTGAATTCAACGAATTCATGCCAAATTAAGATCTAAGGACTTCTTAGGGGTGTGAAGAATGCAAACAATGTTCTGAAGAGGTAATAACTTCACGCAACTTCAATTATTGCTTGACCATTATTTTCAGAGATCCTTAAATAAGTATGATATACACAGTGGTCTGGCTAATCATGATCAAAATGGCATGGTTCATGCAGCATATACATATACTCATGTATATGTAGGTAAACCTAGATAAACTGTGTTCTTGTCACGAAGATCGGAAAGCAGGTATCAGATGTCTCAGTAAGCAGTGTAATACATGTAAGTTACATGTTTTTATTTGACACAAGCTGGATCTTCACTCACTTTCAGAATTAATCTTGAATTCAGTTGGAATAAGCTTGTTGAGCACATCAGTATTGAGAGAATACAGTGAAAGTAAGTAAACACATGCTTCTTAAGATTAAGTGATACATTTATTTGACATGATTGTATAATTATTAGTTGTCTATCTAAGTTAATGATGAATTCGTTGCGATGATAATACCTATTATTGTTTTTATAGTCACTATGAACATGAATGTCATTATTATTGCTGTCAATACCTATTATTTGTCATAAAGTGGTTGTCATTTTTGCTAAGATATTTGTATAAGCTTTGAAAACTACTGCATAACTTGTTGTTAGATAATTTTATCATTTCATGATGCTTCAATGGACCTACTGGATATCGACCAGCGATAGGTTGCAAAGTCCCTTAAGTTTAGTGAAAACTATTGGGCTACTTATATGTACATATATATATATATATTGTTTGTAAAGTGATTACTTGTAAATGCTTATCAGGAAAAATTTTTTATTCAGATCATGCATGTAATACCCAAGTTAATTATGCTTTTCTTAAACCTTTTCAGACTTATGTAAAAACATATATGTGCCGTGTTCTCAGATGGAACTTACTGACGGTAACAAAGGACTACTCATCTGAATTATCTGTACATTTGAAATCTGATTTTTGTTTAATAAACAATTTTTCAATGAATCTGTCTTCCTTCTGTTGTAATGCGATTGTGTTCCAGTAACATAAGTAACTCGTGCTAAGTTAGGAGTTGAGGGTAAACTGTTAGGAGTAAATGCGGTGTCTGGAAAACTTTTGTTTACGTGGTTATATGAGCAGATAGCAACGCATCGTGTTCCGTGGGTGAGAGCCCTAGGCATTCTGTTTTTAATTATTACGATAACCGTAGTTGCACTGAGTTATACATCTAACAGCATAGGCATAGTCTCTCCTTATGGTACATTGCGACATGCAGAAATCACAAGCAAACTATCTCAGGTAGATTTATTCTCAATTGGTGACTATGAATCGGGAATCAGTTTACGTATTCTGCTATGACGATATATAACTCGAAACGCTTTATAATCGCAACACCTTCTCTACGGTTTAGGCATATTTACTTTATTTGACCACAACATAATCTTTTACCAATAGGCTTTTCCAAATATCTGCTCCTACTTAGTATTTCAAAGATAGCCTCATATACTCTATACCTCACATATTACGCAAGGGCTAATATTCGGTCTTATCAAGTAGAATAAACAAACGATTAACGAGGAATACATTTATTAATGAATTAACATGTAATACAAAATCGACACCAGTGCAGGTATCTTTTTCTTTATCAACGAAATCCATGAAATTCCCAAAAGTAGATATTATCTGAAAAAGGACATAAGATATATACAGATATAGACATTGTTATCAGTGTTAACACAAAAACTAACCATTAAATATGTTTAAAATGACGAAATAATTACTTGAATTGTATATAATTATGTAAGTCAACAGTTTTCAATAATATAAAATCCATATTGCATCTGCCTTCAAACATCAAGTTTATGCCATAAAAAAAGGAATTACTTTGCGTATATAATTTCTAAGTATTTCCGCAGATTTTTCCTAAAGAAATACATATGGAGTAGCCTTGTCAGCATTACGAAAAGTAAGCAAGGAAGTAAATGATGTAATTACCGAAACGAGCTATCCCACCTCGTCATGTCCATGTGTAATCCATTAAAATGCAAAGAAAATTCACGAAAAAATCATTATAACATATTTCTTCAAGTAATTCGAGTAATTTTGAACGGAAAAGTACGTTTTTCCAAAAAACTGCAAACTGCCTGTAAGCTACGGCCGGATAAGGACACCACCATTGCCTACTTCTGCTAAATACGCCGTATTTCATCAACTTTTAACTGGAATATGTGTAAAAAAGTGTGTAAAACAACGAAAAATGACCTAACCTTGACGTCATTTCCAAAAATAACGCCAATATTCATCAGCTGATCAAATGACCTACGGCCGTCTACAGGCTGCCCGCGAAAATTGGGGAAGTTGGTTTTGAGCAAACAACCATGAATTGATCGTTTAATCTTCAACTACATTGACACTTACAATGAATACTACAAGCTCTTTTGTTGCATTTATAATGCATCCGCAATATTTTCGAGTATCATTTATAAGTCGAACTCTATCCTCAGTTAACGCCTGGACTAACAAGCAATTAGTGTCATTAGCACAATTTTCAAATAATGAATAACGAAATAAGAAATCTGCATGAGGTATATCCTTTGCCGATCTATGTCTAATAGTGTAATCATATGCACTCAGTTCTAAACTCCATCTTTAAACCATAGCAGCAGATGATTTATTCAAAGATTTTTCTGGATTTTAAATGAATTTTAAAGCCTGATGATTAGTAACTATGTGAAAATTAGTACCAAAGAGATACTTGTGCAGGCGTCCTATTGCCGACACAACTGCTAGAGCTTCTTTCTGGGTTTGTGAATACCCTTGTTCACTCTTACTTAGATATCATGAAATACAAATAATAGGTTATCCATTTTATTCATGTACCGCAGCTATACCCAAAGGAGAAGCATCTGTTGTGAGAACAGACTTATCTTTTGATGAAAAAGGTCTTAAGAAAGAAACTCCAAAGTTTTTCGCAAGATATTCTCATGTTGTTGTTCCCACTTAAATTGTTTACTGGAGACAATATCGAAAAGCGGAGATAACAGTTGAGTGAAATTGGGAATGAATCTGGAGTAAAACTGAAGAGTACTTATCCATGATCTCAACGATGACATATTATTAGGTGACGGTGCTTGAATTAGAGGTGTCAAATGACTAGCATCAGGTCTGAAACCTTGGTAGTCTACTGTGTATCCAAAACATGATACAGACGACAAGGTAAAATGACATTTAGATGTATTAACGAGAATATTTTTCTCACAGAAACGCTTGAACAGTTTTAAAAGACGTTCATTATGAACTTGTAAGAGCTAATACGGATTAGTGTAGACCTCAACTCTAAACACTCTTACAAAACTTCTTCACCGTTTTACGCCATTAGCTGTACGCTATTCAACGTGCAAATACTGACGAACTGAATCAAGGTAAAAAGACTTGGTATGGCAAGTGTATCTGGGACAATTATATTTCACACAACGAAATGTGAAATCCAATAAATAAAGAGGTTGTACAACTTATCTGCAGACGTCACTGGAGGTAGGCTCAGAGAGTGTGCAGAGTGAAAGCACAACGAGAGAGCGAACCAATGAGCGTACGGAAGCTTCACAACTCAAAAGATAAAAGTATCTGAAACCTGGGTGAGCGAGTTTAAACAAAAGTTCAAGGGTACAATGTACACTACAGGTTATCCTTCCCTAGAAGGTTGGTGGAAAACCAACAAGCTTCGATACACAAAAGTAGGACGGCTTTGTGAAACAGCAATGAGTGAACGCGAAGGTTTGAGGATAGGAATAGTAAAAAATGTTTTTCCGAAAGGAAAGAAAGCAAAAGAAAAGAAAAATTAAGGTAAGTTGGAAGTAGTATGTAAATGATTAGTGAAGTAAGCTGGAATATAAGAAGAAATGACGCTAGTGCCTTGTTTGGTTGTAAGCTTCTACTGTTTGGTTTTTTTATATCTTTAATTCTTTCTTTTTTTATCTTTTATATTTTTATTAATTTTTTTATTGTATTGATGTTTATCGATTCATTTTTTTAACTTCGTACTATTACGAGCTTACTTATGTGGAGGTCTGATGATATACCTCCGCCGCCGAGGCAGTCGTAGCAGGAAGGTGACTCATTATGTCTAATTCTCATATTAGACTAATGCTCCCTTCCTCCGCTTCAACAGAACCTAGCAGTCATGTTAAAGGCAATCATTGTACCAGCGTATGATAAGGAGCAGGGTAAAAACAACACAAGAGAATGGGAGAAGAGGTTAAGATTTCAAAATCGGCGTAAAGGTACTACAAAAGCTTGCGCGGAATCAATGCGAGGAAAACTGGTGTAACTTGGATGTAGCACGTCAGAATGAGATAAAACAAAGAAAGTTTCTAACCTGTGAAAACTTATCAAATTACAGAGAAGTGTGTACATAACCAATAGCTATGAGTAGTTACCATTACAAAAATTGTTCTGTTTACGTTGCGAAGTGCAGAACTAAGGTGATGCACATTGTTTACAATCACGGTTCCCAAAATAAATGAATTGCAGGAGGGCATAAACCCGAAGGAATATAGTACAGCCCGTAAAAATAAATTGAGCGGATTACTATGTATAGCATAGAAGTGAAGAATTTATGCGCAAAAATATGTATATCGGTCCATTTAACTATACAGTGGAAGTTTCTTTTTTTAATGATGTTCAGACTTTTTTATTTTTCTAATTTTTTATTTCTTTGTTTACTACTATTTTACATTTTTTTTACTTTTTTCTTTTTAAATTTTTTTTCAATAATTAATTTTTTTAATAATCGATTTTTTGAAGAAATTGTGCAGGGAAAAATAATATAATGTTCGTAATTCCTCATTTGGTGTGGGTTACAAGATGACGTTAGAGGCCAACCGGTCTAGCGAGTAGATTGCAATGAAATAGATGAAAAATTAGGATAAAAAACTGCTGCTGATCCTCTGTAACGAGAGAAAAAGATTAAAAGGATTAGTTCGGGGGAAAAACGACTACTCCCAGAAGTGGAACCAAATAGAGTAAATATAGCAAAATTGAATAAAAAATTGTGACAAGGAATAAAAAACCACTAGTAGCATTACCTATGGATTAGTTCAGTGAAAGAATTCTGTGAACCTCTTGGGCCAGTGAACACGTCGACCAGCACGTGTGACAGGGGTCTTACTGGTGACGGTAGGAGAATCATCCTTCGCCACTGGAGGTGAGGTAGTTGAGTCTGGAAAGGCCTAGGTTCCGTGGGGCTGTTTGATTGAGCCGATGGGGAGGGTGAAGGTTCTTCAGTGTATGCCGCTTTAAGTCTGTCTGTGCTGACAGTGTCTGGGTGTCCGCATCGGTCAAT